TTATTTTGTGTTCTGTCTGACGACAGGTCCATATGAACAGTATCCTTCCATCCTTTTCTCGGACTGGGACTTGTTCATATACGTTCTTGGCAGATGATCCAGCAGTGGTTTGCCATTGCCTTCTTCTGTGTGTGAATGGGGTAATTGTTGGGATGCCACGGAGGAAAACTCCGTGTTGCCTAGACCACGGCCTTGCCCAACACAAGTTATAAATTCGGGCACCGCCGGGAATCGAACCCGAGACCCCAGGATTACAAGGCCAGCGTTCTAACCGCTATGTGACATAAGGCAGTTTTAATTTCTGCATGCTGCTTTTTGGAAAAAAACGCACTGAAACAAAAGAATTCGTCACTCGTCCGTGACCTGCCACGTGTACACACAACGCAGCAGAACGATTTTTTCCGTTATTCCTTACTGGCAGTTTTCCACTAAATTTATATTACGCATCAGTAACACAAGATTTGTAAGACTTGGAGTCAGTGCCACAGGAAAGTAGGCTTTATAAGAATCCTGGTGAGCAGACGGCTTATCACCTCCGAGTAGCCTCCACTTCTCAAGCTGTTGTTATTTAAATAGCAGATCTGTCGGAGATAGCCCTCAAAGTAAGACGCCTTGCACTAGACTTTCACGATTTGAGTTTCTTAGTTTCACTACTTTCAAGACGTCGCTTCAACAACACCAAACGAAGGCCCATGCCACGTACCTCAGCACAATGGGTGCTCCATTTTTCTGAAAATTCAGCGAAACAAGACCAGAGCATTGTTTTGCAAAACGTGGCTAGCGGATCGAAGTTCAATCCTAACCGCGAAATTTACAACCAGTGTTGGGAATACTGTGGCCGGCGGGTTGCCAGTTCGACCACTCTGATTCAAAAATATAATGATCACTATATGTACCACCTATTTTAACATCCAATAACCCCACACTTTTATCACAATATGTATTTATATTATTTCGTGTGACTCTCAGAATAAACAGCGATTAATTCCCTAAACACACGACTCACTGACCATTGTAATGAAGACGCTCTGCTGTTTTCTTTGAGGTAGGAACTGACTTTTTAAGTATTTATACAAGGATCATGCTTCAGAGAAGTCAAATCAAAGAATTAAGAAATTTTCACTGAATAATTTGTGTTAATAACCAGAAAAGTGAGACACAGAGATCCCCGCAAATACACTACAAATATGATAGTTACCGTCTCCATGGAGACGCTTGGTCGCAGATGTCGTCGTGCACAAACTATAAGGTGATGGCGCTGGAACTGGGATAAATCCACTGGCCCATACAAGACTGGACCTCCTCTCATGCACTGACACAACAGATGGTGGGCTGGATGGATATTCTACACCAGTGATGCACAATTTGCTACCCCAGGGCCACACGCGGCCCTCCATGCTTGTGCCAAATACGATGTCAGACAATAAAAATACGTTTATTTCCAATTACATTAAAACTGTATTAAATCGTTAATAATCGCTGGAAACTGAATATTTTAAAATTTTCTGGTAGTCTTATGTGATCGCATTGACCAATGTCGGCAATTTTGAATATTTATTCGTACCTCAAAGAAAACAACGCTTCTCCATCCCAAGGATAAATCGGTTAATGCTGTTTAGGAAAATAATACGACTGAGATACAAATGAAACCCACAAATACAGTATGTGGAAAATATGCTGGAATTACAGATGTTAAAGCAGGTGGTACATATAATTACCAATAAGATTTAAATCGTTAATACAGATGGTAAATTCTCAGTGCCGCTGTTTTTAATAAGTTTTCGGCTCAGTGGCTGGTATTTGCGTGGCATTTCGTGAACAGTAGCCATTCTTGAGTCCCTGAGCAGATAAGAAGCAAATTATTTCATTACATAGTCACCACCGTCAACCAAATATCATTCACCGTGTTCTTAAGCCCGCGTCACTTCAATTAACTGAACTGTCATCGTATATTTCACCAAATGAACAATGTTAATTTCTGTTTTCACTGCACTTCATTTAATTCGTCGGTCAATTGTCGTGGCTGTCTCATCGTTTGCGTGCTCAATTTCTTGTCTGGCCACCGTGAACTTGTGACACCGATCTTGTTGATTTGTTAATAAAACTTGAGGAACGCTGTCGGCTAGCTACTGTACTGAGAACTGGTAAAGCTTATAACGTAGTCATGCATTGGGCGTGAAATTCTTTACGTCCACTAATAAAATCCACTCGAAAACAAAGTAAAATGCAGAATACATACGAAATCAAAAATCCAAACTTCAACAGAAATTTACTATTGAAAAAATAAAATGCTTCAGTAAATGGATGTCGAACTCTGCGAAGCAGATTCCTTCTTCAGAAGCTGATAGTCGTTCAGCTAGTCGAGATGTGTCTCGCCATTTGCATAACTCCATGTTCAATTACCGTGTACACACCATTCCATTATTTTATCCTATCCTGAGCCCTAAAAGTTCATCCCATAACCTCCGACCCTATTTCTTCAACATGGTCTTTTCCCGTCGGGGTCTTACGATAAAACGATAAAAATGCATACATCGTTTGGTTTTACATGCCGCGTGAAACTTATCTTCCTTCACACGATTATTCTAAAAATATTTGTTGAAGTGCACATGTCTAACAAAATATTTTTTATCATGTCTCAGTACAATCGATTATCAATATTTTTTTTTAAATATTCCAGATAATAATCAAGCCATCGAGGTCTTTTTTCGTAGAAATATTTGTACCTGTTACGTAACAACATTTTTATGTAAGAACTTTGTCAAGGAAATTGAAGCAATTCGACACGAATCACATATTTTTCAGCTCTGCTGTTAAATCCTGCCACATAGCGTTAATATTGAGAAATTCGCAAGTCATGCATAACACATACAGACACACGTCATAAACAATATCCTATTGTAGGGCACAAAAACTGACGATAAAATTATCCAATAAAACATTTATTTCATGTTTCCTGCAGGCAAGTGTTCCTTTTCACGGGGGTTGTGCACCCCTGATATGAGACACTGAGATTGTCGCTCAGACAGGTATCTGCATCTTGAGTTATCTCTGTCCACCGTATAAGCTTTATCGCTGTCTTCAATTACACTTCCTGCCAGCGCAGATTTGATTGGAGTGTTTGTAACCAACTTCTGTGAGGATTTCGCACGACAAGTAACGAGGACTGAGTGATGTATCAGTGAGAGCAAAAACTTTCCTCTGCTGTGCCGTCATATTTGCTTTCAATTTCATCAGGGAATCATTCAGCCCGTCTACGTTACCTGACAAAAAAAATTGGATTTGTCAGGGTAAGGTCAAATGAACTAAACGGTAATGGAACCCAAGGTTTCACAAATGGTGGAGAATTTTCAGACCAGCTCAGGAGATTCTTAATAAAAATAAGCCTTTCACTTTCCGGCCTATAAACCTAGCACCTCACACCCTATTGGCATATTCATCACCCTGATGACGGAGGCAGTATGACCTCTGAAACGTTGGTTAACATCAACCAGACTACGCAGCGCAACAACCCAGAAGACAGAAATCTTCATACTCTGATGACGGAGGACGTATGACCTCTGAAACGTTGGTTAACATCAACCAGACTACGCAGCGCAACAACCCAGAAGACAGAAATCTTCATACTCTGATGACGGAGGACGTATGACCTCTGAAACGTTGGTTAACATCAACCAGACTACGCAGCGCAACAACCCAGAAGACAGAAATCTTCATACTCTGATGACGGAGGACGTATGACCTCTGAAACGTTGGTTAACATCAACCAGACTACGCAGCGCAACAACCCAGAAGACAGAAATCTTCATACTCTGATGACGGAGGACGTATGACCTCTGAAACGTTGGTTAACATCAACCAGACTACGCAGCGCAACAACCCAGAAGACAGAAATCTTCATACTCTGATGACGGAGGACGTATGACCTCTGAAACGTTGGTTAACATCAACCAGACTACGCAGCGCAACAACCCAGAAGACAGAAATCTTCATACTCTGATGACGGAGGACGTATGACCTCTGAAACGTTGGTTAACATCAACCAGACTACGCAGCGCAACAACCCAGAAGACAGAAATCTTCATACTCTGATGACGGAGGACGTATGACCTCTGAAACGTTGGTTAACATCAACCAGACTACGCAGCGCAACAACCCAGAAGACAGAAATCTTCATACTCTGATGACGGAGGACGTATGACCTCTGAAACGTTGGTTAACATCAACCAGAGTACACAGCGCAACAACCCAGAAGACGGAAATCTTCAAAAATAAGCTTCATGGAGGTAGCTTTACCATCCAAAATGAACAGTCCTTTCGAGTCCGTGACTGTCTCCTTAACAGTTTTCTTTATTCTGCGAATAATTCCATTGAAAAGAGAATCTGGCAGTCGATGAGTTGGTTTTTTTAACGTAGCTCACGTTCATTACCGTGTTCATAACAGCCCGCCTTGGGCCGTATCGTAATTCAGATGATTCAAGTAACGCACTCAAATTATAAATTCACAGAAATAATAATGAAAGAACTTGCCCATATTGATGTTCTTGGTAGTGTCCTCGTGTGTGAGACCCTTAAAATGGACGCAGTACGTCCCTCTAAAACGTTCATCGTTGTGATAGTCTCAATACATTTCTTATTAATTTGGAATACATTCAATTTTGTAAAAAAAAAATATATTCCAAAAAGTAGGGTTTCTTCTTCTGCAAATTTTAAACCTGGATGGTATTGGATCTACCTCCACCGCAACTCAAGACAAAAAAAACCCTAAAAAGTGACTAAGTTTATTAGTTTAATTGAACGGACTTCGGCTTATATCATATAAAAAAAACACACGTGACTGAGCACTGCAGTCACCTCATAATCAAATGTAATTAGACAAGGATAAAACTAATCGAATCTGCAATTCCAAAAAACTCCTCTCAGTAGAATTGGAAAAAAGGAAGACCCGAACAGGCAAGGCCTTGCTAAGCGTCATTCGGTTACTTCAAAATACAGCGATGGTGTTGCTTCCTAGAAATATTACGTCAGGACTTGAGTAATTCATTCACGCCCTTCAATATCGCAACTCTGCAGCTCCTCCACAAAACTCCGGCATTTCAAGTATGTATTTATAAACGAGTGTTCGCCGAATACGATAAGATAGAAGAATAAATTGAACTGAGAAAAATACGTGTATTTTTATATCTGACGTTTACGTCGACATCAGCTCTGACTGTAGCTCGTAACACATCCCGGAATCCAACTTTCTTACTTCACATCACAATTCGTTCTACAATTCTATTTAATCACATTTAGTAAAGTATTTTCTAGAATTACGTACAATCTGTTACAGAAACCCGAGATTAATCTGAATTAACAAACAATACTAATGTTTCAGCATTAGTCATCAAATCAACAACAATTTTCTACTGTAATATCAAGATGTTATTGCTCATATGATTCATAACTGATAAGATTTGTTTGGGTGTTTAACAGCCTGTAGATATTAACCGTACAAAGATTAATTCTCGTCATGTATTGACTTTCCGCTGACGCCTTAGTCTTATGCAATATATCTGACTTCCTACACCGAACTCTCATTTAGTAACAGAAGGTCTCCCCTTACGACAAATTAAACCTTGACACTGAATTAGCTCTTCAAAGTTCTGTGTTCTTTTGTTTAAAGAAGGCAGACATATTG